GCCTGTGGATGGTCTGAAACTCTGGCACAATAGCCATGTGGCTATCCAGAACACCGTCCCCACATCTACTAGCACTGCCAAGGCTGTAGGCAAGGTTATCCTGGAGCTGAATGGGAAACTCACTGGCATGGCCTTTCGTGTCTCCAATCCCAATACGTCGGTCATGAATCTCACCTGCCACCCGGAGAAAGCTGACTAGTAGGATGACATAAAGAAGGTGATGAAACAGGCGTTAGATGGTCCCCTAAAGGGCATCCTGGGATACACTGAGGACGAGGTTGTCTCCTCTGACTTCAACAGTGACACCCACTCTTCAACCTTTGATGTTGGTGCTGGCATTGCCCTCAATGACCACTTTGTCAAGCTCATCTTGTATGATAATGAATTTGGCTACATCAACAGAGTGGTAGACCTTATGGCCCACATGGCCTCCAAAGAGTAAGAGTTGCCCTGGACCAGCAGCCCCAGCAACAGTACTAGAGGAAGAGAGGGCCTCAGCTGCTGGGGAGTCTTTGTCCCAACTCGATCCCCTCGCACACAGAATATCCCACTACCTCGAGTTTCCATTCAGATCGCCTGAGGAAGAGGAGGGGCTCAGAGAGCCCTCTTGTCATGTACTTTCAATAAAGTACATTGTACCTAGCTACACACACACACACACACACACACAAAAGGATTCCATTATTTTTCAATTACATATTTCTATGAACTATTGAAGCCCCTTTGTATGTTTGCATAATAAAATAAAAGCTGCCAGATCCATAAAGTGTCATAATAAATAGAAACGGCAAGCAACACAGAACTTTTTTCCAAAAGAAAAATCTTAGTGAGTGTAAGCGAACAAAATCAGTGTCTCAGGATCAGTCCTCAAAGATACACAAATTCCTTACTTATCAGGATTCTAAACTTACAGGCCTAAAAATCTTACAAACTGACCTGAAAAATTTATAATAGCAACGATATAAAGAATGGCTTCTCACAGAAGGAATGAATACATGGAGACAATAATTGATACTATGGGTTATCAGGGACATGGGGAGCAAACAATAAATACAGGAGGCAGGAGGGAACATTACAATTGATTTTGATGATGTATACACAACTCTTTAAACACAGACGTGTATGATATGTGAATGTTGTATCAACAAAACGACTTAAAAAAAAAAAGAAAGAAACCAAACTTGATCAATGGTTACCATGGGTGAAGGTGGAAGAGTTTTTGCTTAGGGGGCATTGAGTTTATGTTAATGGTGGTAGAACTGGAAAAAGATATCAATAATAATTGTACAAATGAAGAGTATAATCAATGGCACTGAATTGTACATGTAGAAGTTGTTGAATTGGAGAAGTGTTCTGTTGTGTATATTTTTGCCAAAATTGAAAAAAGTTACATGAATACCAATGAGTACAAGGAAGAAGAAAATGTTCTGGAACTGCTGTAAAGAATGTACAACTCATCTTGAAAGAACGACTGGATTGTATGATATGTAGATGAAGTGCCAATAAAACTGTTTAAAAGGAAAGGAAAGCCTTAAACATCTCTAGAATTTTCCCCCAAAATATTTAGAAATGCTCATTTCTGGCCCAATTCTATTTAGAATATGAAATATAAAAATGGAAAGAGGATACCTTGATTGGTTATAGGAGTACATACATTCTAGTCATCTAAAGAATAAACCTTCAAGTAAAAGGGAAGCCTTGCCTATCATGACTTTGGATTGAGTTTCATCAGCCACTTCTAATTAAAGATTACTAAAGTCAATTTTCAGTTACATAATATAATATTCCAAGTATACTTTAAGGCTCTTATTCACCTTCGTGTATATGTCTTTTAGAAGGATAAGAAACCAGTAAACACCCACTCTGGCATTCTGAATCTTATTAAATATTAATTGCTTTTAAGAAATTGTATGATTATCTAAACTATTTTCATAGTTTCCTAAAATCACAAGTCATTAGGTACTAATAGCAACAGTGCCAGAGATTACCTCTTAGTGTATGG